CATGTTTTCTCATAAAAGATATTAACTGATGGGCTAGAAATTGTGAAAATTGAATGTTTTACCTACTTCTGGATTAGAATACTCAGAAATTATTGTATTTTTACTCCACTTACAGTTCCTAGTTTAGAAAATATTAGAACATGAGAAAGGCTGATCCTGAAATAGCTCACTAGAAACTGGTGTCAGAAATTGCAATCTGTGTTCTAAATTATTTTGATAAATTTTCACATTCAAGCAACTTGGAAAATTTAGATATAGATCCAACTTTTTATCCTGAAGGGAGACCAAAGTTCAAGCCTTTGGAAGTCTCTTTGCTCATTGCTAATCCTTCAGTGATTTAAGATAATTTTAAATACAAGCCTCCATAAAAGAGAAAAAAAACCTTCACAGGCACAAGGAGAGAAAATGAAACAGTGAAAAAGAAAATCCAAATAATGAAATAAATCTTTCAGGACCCATGCTATCAGCTAATCTGAATCAGCAAGGAATGCACTGGTGGATTAGGAAGGCTGAGAAATATTTTTGCTCCTATGGAATAATCATCATCATCATCATCATCATCATCTGAAAGCTTGTCTTTGATCCCTTTGTTAGAAGAACTCCATGGATGTAGAAATATTCAATAAATATCTGGAATTTCAAGGGGCTTGTGCTGGGCTTTGAAAGTGTGGCTCTTTGGAGCCAAGGCACTCTCCACACCTTCAGAGAAGAGAAACACAACTGCTCAGATGCCTCTTTAGATACAGCTGAGCCTGAGACTGGAAAGTTCTTGCAGGATTTTCAGACTTTGAGCATAAAGCTTTTTTTTTCCTTTTTTTTTGCCCCCAATTGGATTTCACGGTTGAAACTGGGTGTAAGAATCCTGAGACTAGGGAGCAAATAGCTTTTTATGGAGATTTGAATTACATTTTACACTTGAAAAATCAGCCCAAGCAGAGAGTGAAATGGCCTGGTGCTGTGTCTGTGTGCCAGTCCCTGCTGCTCTCTCCATGGCCACAGCAGGTCACACTCCCAAGGCACCTGGAGCACTGCGTGGCAGGGCAGGGGAAGGTGCTAAATGGAAAGAAAGCATTTAGAGCTGGTGCTGGCTCCTGCTTTAAATCAGTTTTGAAAGCCTGTGTGTATTTTAGCTCTCACCTGCCCTGTCATGGACCCAGCAGAGATGTGGGTTTGCCCACAAGCTGCTTCTGCTGCCAGGTTCTCAGTGTGGGTTCACCCAGCCCCTTTCCAGCAGCTGCAGCCTCTGCTCACAAACATCCTCACTCTGATGCACTGTTTGAAGTCTGGGCCATGGACTGTGTCTCTTCTGCATGTGAGCATCCAGCAGTTTTCCACAGCTGCAGCTGGGTTTGGAAAGAAGTGAAGAGGATTTCAGGTGCTGTGGAATTCGCCTGCAGTGCCCAGTGCTTTCGTTGGAATAAATCTCCCTGAATGCACAGTGCCCCCCAATGTCTGCTGAAAGATGTCTGCTGAGAGATGTAGCTTTGTTTGATTTCACTTTTGGTGATATTTATCTTCTGCAGACATTAGCAAACTAAACTGCCAGTTTATTTATAAACGGAAGAGTTCATAAGGTTGATAGATATTTCCTATTTTTTGTGAATTTTGATGCATCTCTGGACGAATGGGTGACTTTACTGTCATTTTCCCTCAGAACACAACTCCAGTTTGGGTCCCTAAATGAAATTCTTTAAGCACAGAACTCCAAAACCTCAATTCTCACTTGCCAATGGGGGAAAAAAAAATATCAGCCTATTGGTGGTACAATCTAGCCCTGTAAATAGTTCCTTCTCAGGTCCTGCTGCCCTGGAACACAGTTATATGTCAGCTACAATCATCTGTTTTCCCATTCTTTGTGTGTGTGTATGTTGCTGAAAAGCAAATCTTTCCCACAACTAATTGTATTTGCTAATTACCTGTGAAAAAGCAATTATCTGCAAGTGATACAACTCTTTGGAAAGGCTCTTTTAATTGGCAAAGATACTCTTCTGTGGATGCTGTTTTCAGAAGAATCTTCCCAAATATTGTACCTGATGTATCACATTAGACACATCAGATTGGGTTGCATCAGCAATGTTGCATTACATCACATCACCGAGGTAATGTGCTGTGACAGACTTGCAATGCAATGTGTCAGCTGGAAAATGGGGAAAGATGTGATTTCCTGAGCAAAATGCTGCTTAAGCTTTATGGTATTTTCTCCTCCTCTAATTAAACAAGTGGCTGTTTGTGTGTTGTGGTATCTCCTAAAGGGCTCAACTGCCTGGTGAAGAGTTCTGGGTATTTTCTGTGGTTCCTGCCTCTCCATCGACTATTAACTGGTCCAAAATGAAAGGTGTTTTTTACTATTTCCACTTCCATACCCAGATTATAATATATTTGTTTCCCCAAACTTTCAGTAAACAAAAAAAGCATTTCTAGGAGGAATGTTCTTGCTCTTTGTTCGTCTCTGTCCAGGGCCTGGGCTTTTACCTTGGCTCATGGAATATGCCTCTTGTGGAGAATGCTGTGGGGTGAATCCTGCACAAGTGAACTTCAGAATCACAGTCCTGAGAGCAAAACGTGGCTGCAACTCATGGGCACTCAGAGGTGCAAGGAGAAGGGGATTTTCTGATGTATGGCTTATTTATGGTGCAAAATTCAACAAGGATGGCACTGAAGTGCTCTTTGCACTTTGCCTGCCTTCACAGATGACCTTCCCCCTGGGGTGGCAGCAGGAAGATGCTGCAGCCTCTCATCCTTCAGGGATGTGTAGGAAAATTTTGCTTTGGCCAAGGTATTTATCCAGTCCTGAGTAAAGATGACTTGGCTTGCCCAGGGGAGAGGGCAGGGCAGTGGTCACTGTGGTCACCTGGAGTGGTGTGTGCCCAGCCAACCTCACCAAACACACACTGGCCACCTGCACCTGCTCTTCAAATGAGTTTCCAGTCAAATTTACTTGCTGGCAGCTGGCTGTCTTTGACAGAAGGCTCGGTTATGACTCAGAACAGAGCAGAGAAGCTGGAAATACATGCACTTCAGGTGGAGCTAGGGGATGTAGAGGTGAAACTGGAGTGCAGATGAAGGAGAAAAACTCAAAAATGTTAAGCTCTTTAGAAAAGGAGGAGCCATGAAATCCATGCAGAAGCAAAAATCAAAGTATTTTTAGAGTGTTTTCATAATCTGCATTGTCAGCAATAATGAATTGTAACAGTTTGCTTCCTTTTCTAGTTATTTCTTTTTAAATTTGTCCACTTTTTTATGAGCTATTCAGCATTGTCTGATACTGAGCATCCTTTCAGGTATACATTATGCATCAGTGAAACACCAAAACCAATCAACAGAGAATTTCTGAAGAGGGAAGTGCTATACAATAATGATGAACATATTGTCCTCAAGCTGTGGAGGTTAACAGCCCCAAATTGCTTTGCTATTTGTACATATTGAAATAAGAAGAATTTATATGTTTGCTCTCATTTCAGTGGGCTCTTGTGATTCATTACATTGGCACTTCAGAGTTCAGAACAGTCACTTGCCTCCTGCAAAGCAGCACCCTTAAATGTGTTACTATTTGGTTGCTCATTATTATCCCAATTCTTTCTTTTTTATTGCTGCACAAATACACTTTGGTTTCACAGTAACTTGTGTCTAATGCTGATTTGTGTAGTGTTCATTGCAGGAAGGATCAAGGTGCTGGTGCACTCAGAAAGAAGTCAGCTAAGTAAATCTATAATAGCACTGTTGTTTAAACAATGTCTTGGACCATTAAAACTAAAACAAACAAACAAAAATTTAAAAAATGGTTTTGTACCTATGGTTACCTTTAATTTTTTGATGGGTTTTTAATGAAATGGCAACAGACATGTGGAAGGCATTTACTTACCTTTCTGTCTCCTTGGTTTAGTCTTTTAGGACAATACAGTCATTTTACAGTCTGTCCTGGGTAAGGGAAAGAGCATGATTGCTGAGAAATGAATTGTGAATTGAAAGTCTCTAATCTTTGCCTCCCAACCCACATTCCTTCTTGCTCTAAGCAGGTACTGAGGAAAGGTATTCAGGTGCCTAAAGATGAAAACAGGTTCACAATGTTTTTTGCTTTGTTTTTGTTTCTTGTTTGGGTGGTTTTTTGGTGTGTTTTGTTGTTGTTTTCTCCCCAAAAATGAACAGGAGACCCCTCCAGCTCTCTGCAAAACTGCTACATGCACTTTTGTACCCATAAATTCCTCCAGTACTCCTGTTGACCTGGGTGCTACGGTTTCAGTCCAACCCTGGCTCCATGTCCAGGCACTTGGGGCCATCCCACATCCCCCAGATGAGTGTTTGGGTGCAGATACCCTCACTGGAGCCAAGCACTTCTCCTGTCAGAGATGAAATGCATCCTGAAGCGCCAGTTTGGTCTCTATGAACTGTGTGAGAATCCCTTTGGGACCAGCACAGAAATGGATATTTCCAGTCTGAGAGCCATATCTGCTCAGGAGAGCCTTACTTTACACAAAGGGTCAGCCTTGGTGTTTCTGTCACTTCTTTTCATCAAAATGCTTATTTTCTATCTATCGTAGGTATGTCATTCAAATCAATAGCAAACACTCTAATCTTATCTTTTAACCAAATATTAGCCATGCTTTCTATTTACAAGCCAACTTTAACTCACACTAACCCTTTTTCTGCATACAGGACTCCTATTCTAAGCCTTTTCTTTAAACCTGTTATTACTTCTGCCTTTTATGTCTAAACCCAGTACAGCAGCACAATTAACTGCTTTACTTAACATACAAGTTTATAAGTGATCTCCATGATACCACTGACATGAAGAAAGTAAGTGGGGTTAAACTGTCTCTCATTACAAGCTGATCTTTGTGCAGTCTTTGGTTTGTAGAACTGGCAGCAGACGTGTATTGCAGAACTAAAAGTTATGAGAACCACCATGAGGACATAATGGTGAGATCAGATGAGAATGGGAGAATCCACACAAGTCTTTAATCTCCATCAAGCCAAGATATTGTTTCTGCTTTGTTTTGTAGTTTAAAATAAATCCTCGATGACACTGTCATCGTCCCATTTTGTGGTCTTCATTTCCTCCTGATTATAAACAATAATCAGGTTTCCCTTTGGCAGGGCTGGGAGGCAGGGGAGTTCAAACTCTGCTGCTCACAGAGAGCAAGAACTGCTTTTCCCACTGCAGTGTTTCAGATCTCCAGCTCCCTGGACTGAGGCTGCTGTGATGGTGAGTTCATAAAGACACTGAGTGTTCAGAAGTTGTGTCACATTAGCCAGAAGTGCTCCATGATGAGGCCGAGGGAGAAATGCCCCCATGGCTTTGCAATCAGGGAACAGGCTGGGGATAAGTGCTGGTAAATGGCTGGAATGGTGACTTTCCCCTGCCCCACAGAACACAGCTTTGTCAAAGTGGAGCAGATAAACAGGTAAGTGAGCTAAATCTTGCTTCGCTCTGTGAAGAGCAGGAGTTTAACACAATTTTAAAAGTAGTAGCAGTGGCTGAGAGCACGAGTGACTAATGCATGACTAAGGTTTCTACAGAAGTGAAGGTGAAGGTAATGCTCAGTTGTGCAGATTTATGAAGGCTGTGATCAGCAGCTATGCCAAAATGGAGCGACGAGTTTCAAAAAGCTCGAGAATAAGGCTGAATTCCAGGGCTGCAGGGCAGATACCATATCTGAGTGAGATTTGTAATAGCAATGCCAAGGACATGACAGAAAAAATAACACTTGAACCACCCACTCCCCTTCAGGAAGATTTCTGCTTTTGAAACTCCAAGTAATAGGCACCCAGGCAAGTACTGAAAGAATTCAGGACATGGAATAGCTGCCGAAGGAGCTGCAAGAAATCACCTTTGAAGAAGCAATACTGAAACTAGCAGTGAGATCTCTGGGTGGGGAAAGCAGGATGAAGAGATTAGAGAAAATGAAAAGTTTCCACCTGGTTTGTAAATATTAATGTGAAGAACTCAGCACAGCGGTGTCTTGTGAGCACCTTCTTTAGCACCCTCTTTTCAGTAGGCTGCTGGAGATTTGCATTGCTAATGTGCTTGCAGGAAAGTTCTCCCAGGCTCCCAGGGAAAAGAGGCAGATGTAATCTTTCAGGGCAAGGCAATAAGGTGCTTGAGTAATTTTACCTTTGCATCCTAAACTGTGCATGTACTGGATGAGAAGCCTTGGGGTTTCTGGATGGAAAACACCTGAACTTAGCATTCATTAAAGAGAGCTGGTTTCTAACCACTGTATCCTCGATAAGTAGCACATCAGTAGGAGGGCAAAATAACAATTGCTCTAGGCTTGGAGACGCTTTTGCATTACTGCTACTCCAATTATTCCTTTTTTACACATGTTCAGCAGTCTCTCGCCTCTGTAATTACCACCCTGAACACTTTAGCTATTAGATACAGCTACTAGACTTTTAACAAGACATCATTACTTGCACTTGCTATCTTACAATTTAGCAACGTCTTTGAGACCAGTGTAACAGACTCACAGACCTGTGCATGGACTCATGCACATAAAAGCTGGCTGCAGACAGAGATTTTGCTAAGAAACAGAAAAGCAACCAAGGAGAGAGCTGCAGAATGTGGAAGCTGAGGCACACTATGGCCTTGGTTTGAATATTCTAGTTAAAAGTTCTTTTTAATATCTGTACTGGGGCAAAATTTCCCTTTCATTGAGAAATGGCGGCTGAGGATGAGAATGGCCAAATTAGAAAGCTTGCTGAAAGCCTGAAAGCCTCTGAGGTTTTATGGGATGTCAGATGTGAGGGCAGCTGTGTGTCAGCTGTCCTTAAACACCTAAGGGAAGGGGAAAGGCATGTTGTGAAGGTTTGCCTTTGCCCAGCTTTCCCTCTGTTTGGCAATTTATTTCCTGTGCTCTTGTGATGGTGCAGAATACTAAAAAGAGGTAATTTTTTGTAAATTCAGGCAAGCAGGAGCACGGTGGGCTAGGTTACCTGATCAGCTGGTGGATTTTCTCTGCTAACCCCAGGTGGCCAGGCAGAGCAGGCATTTAAAAACTCATCCATCTCTTGTCTTACTGTCTTTGATTTTGCATAATTAAAAGTGAATTACTTGCTGTATTTTTAATATATGCAGTGAAAATGCATGAAAAGCTAAAAATTTACAGCAATCCAGTAATTCATGTCATGTCCCATTCGGAATTACAGCTTTCCAGTCCCAGCTCAAACACCAAGGATTTCCTGCCACCATAAAGCTGTAATTGCTGAATTAATAACAGCAGGTTTTGGAGAGAGACTGCACAGACTCTCTGACCCAGGTAATAGAAATACTCATGTTAAAGTGAATTTGATACATGTGACTTAATCTATTTCATATTAGGCTCAAATAGTGAAAATCATTGCTGTCTTTGCCACAGGATGTTATGAGAACCACAGCAAGGTGTTTAACTTAAGGTAGCTGTGTTGCTAAGCCAGTTGGGACTAGAAATCAAATTTCAGGTACAAGCCAGGCTAGTTCCTTTTACCAGTGAACTTGAACTCTAAATCTGTTTGTCTGCTCAGCACTTCTGGGAGGTGGAATTCTCCACCCAGCTGCAAAAGCATGAACAGGATGCAAAGGTAGATGGTGAAAAGCTTCTGCTAATGTTTCATTACTCCAGAATTTTATTATCAGCTACTGAAAAACCCCAACTTCCTCCTCACCTTCCAGTTTGGAAATAAATCCTTCTGCTGCTGCTCTTTGCAAACTGTGATATCTGCTGCCTCCCACAGCCATGACACTCATCAGGACTGGGATGAAGGGAATGATGTATCTAAACAGAATGATCAGAAGTTAACTGAAATGGCATGATCTGAATGAAAGGTCCCTTTTCCCCCCTTTGGTCCTTGTTGCAGCGGTCTGGGTTTTTTTAAGGGTTACTAAGGTATTGGAGGAAGCTGGTGATCAATTTGCTGTGAATTCCTCAAGCTGAGACCCTGATGCAGCAGCCATTTGAACCCAAGTGTCTTTACATTTATTTCAGTAGGTTTTGTAATTCTTGGTCACTGCTATAATCTGGTTCGAGCTGTTAGAGATCAGTTGGCCCATGTCAAAGATCTGCTTGTACTGTGGGATTGATTTAGTGAACAGCTATTCATGTTGCAATGTTCAACTGCAGCAAAAGACAAGATTTATGAGCAATCAGAAACTGAACTTCTCAGCTCAGGATAATATCCTGTGCTGGGGGTGTTTGAAATGGTCTCATTGAGATTGTATGGACATTGTGGATAAAATGAACTGGCAGCTTCCAGGGCTGGCAATCTGGTTCCTTTCGTAAGAATTACCATCATTAATTAAAATCTCTTTTTCTGTCTAATTATTTCAGCTCTAATTCTCTTGCAGGTTCATAAATAGTATCATTCTGTTGTCCTGGAAAAAAGTTCATTTTTCTCCTTTTCGTTGTCTTTGTCACTGCCCTCAATTCTCTGCCCTCTCATGGCTTAAGGTAATTAAACTTCCACAGTCTGGTCACCTCTCTGAAATATTCAAATATAATCAGAGACATTTTTATGTTTCTTTTGTGGGCAAAACTCCACAAGAGCCTTGAACAAAAAGGATGTGCTTTTATCTTCTGCAAATATCAGGAGGTGAGGGGCCAGGGATCCCAGAGTGTTTCCACTCTGGTTCACTGTTACCCAGACCCTGTGCTACCGAGTTACAGTTCTAAGGGCAAACATTTCAAGCCTTATAGCTTGTAGGGATTGTGAAAGGTATTTAACCTCATCTGTGTAATTGTCTCCTTGCCATTTAACATTGAGATTACAGCATTTACTGCTGGATGTTGATAATTCTCTCAGCTGAACTTTTGTATCCAGCAAACGATTTTTGCAGAATGTTCCTGTGAAAGATACTGAAATTTGTACATGCAGAGTAGCTTGGGCTCACTCATGTTAATGGAGAGGAGAAAAGTCTCCCCAAAGGCAGGTATGTAGAGCACTATTATCCAAAAGGCCTGAGGATTCTGAGCAGAATAAGCATAAATGATGGTTAAGGCAGAAGATCCTGCTTTGGGCAGCTTGAGGTTGAAGTAGGGAGGATCTCTTCTGGCTGTCAGCAAGGGGATGGTTTTTATCAGTTCACTATGAGATCTGCCCTTCCTGTGCATGTTTACCCTGCTGGCTGATGTTTTCTTGAGTTTTTCTTTATGAAGTGTCAAGTTTTGGTATAAGAAAATATCAAGCGCAGCTAAAGGTCAAAGAAAATCATGAATGAAATTCCACAAACTGATATTCAGCAAAGAACAAACAGTAATGTCGGAGGGTAATTCTAATTTACATAAATGCTCTCCCTGGATCAGAGGCCATCGATGCCCTCAGGAGGAGCTCCTGTGCTTTCCTCCTGGAGATGCAGGTCTACCAGCCAAGACAAGAAGTTTAGAACATGATTGGGATGTCCACTAATTTCATCATTAAAACAGAAGGTGGTACCTGAATCGTTGCAATGATTTGGAAATTTTTCTGCATGCTTTTAGTTTAAGAAAAAAAAGAAAATTCAACTCCTTCCTCAAAAAATGCAGATGTGCCAATGATACCAGGTATCTGTGGGGGTTTCTGCTCAGCAGCAGCTTGGCTGACACCAGAGAACAAGCAGTAGACAAAGATTGCTGCTCCAGCTGTTTTTTTTGTTTGTTAGGTTACACGATGAGGGAAAACAAAATCAGGGTCTATTGCCTGTTTTAAGCACAGAGGAGAAGTTCCATCTGTGGAACAGCTCACAGGCTGGGGGGATCTGTCAGACCTGCCCTTCTGACCAGCAGTTCATGCCAGTATTGAATTCCTGCTTGGTCCAGAGTGCAAAGTCTTTGTGGTTTCACAGCCAAGGCAGTTTCAGTCGTTTATGGTACATTTACAGCAGGACTTTCAGTAGCAACACTTCTAATGGCTGTGAGGCCCTGAATCAATGGTGTCTATCAAACCAGCTGAATTCTGCTTAGAAGCAATTAGTTCTGTGAGCTGCAAAGACAACAGGATTTCCAGAGCCAGTGTCCTGCATTTATCTCTGGATAAGTGGAGAGCTGTTTGTCTGCTTACCAAGGTGCCTATTTCACAAAATTTGTAGGAATGTTAATACCTTGACTACACGTGGTTATACTTATTCAGAGAGGCTTTGTGACCACATAAAACTTAAGAAAGCATAAAAGGAATCAGTTTTCTTGGATATTTGCAGTGCTGGTTGTATAAGAAAGGAGTGGCAGAAGGAAAAATGCATGTCCACAGATCACAGACAGAAAAGTAGGTGTTTTGAAATACTTTGATGGTGACACAAATGTTGTCTCCTCTCCAGTGTCGGGGCTTTTGAAAGCTCACTAGGCAGCAAAATGAAATGTTTTACAGTTTTGTCAAGCACAGCACAGCCACTGATATTATACTTGCAATTTCATGACCTGGTAAACAGATACCTTTGTGCTTAAGGGTCTAAATGTCAGCGGTGTAGAAAACTGATGATTATGCTGCTTTGTGAAATAGGAACTTCTTCATGAGAAATATATCGCACCTGGAGCAGCATCACTTGATATTTGCCCTTGTAAAGCATGACCTTGTGCCCAGTGCTTTCAGTGAGATAAAGAGTGAAGGGAGCTGGTGGGACAGCTGAGCTGGAGATATGTTTATCTCCTGCAGCATGGGCTGTATAGAATATGTGTTGCCTCTTTGAATGCAGTGATTCAGCACCACAAGCCAGTATTGGATTCTTGTCTTGGACCAGAGTACAAACATTCTGGGTCCCAATACAATTTCAGCCAAAGCCTGACATTTTTCTATAAGAAAAACTTTCAGGAACATCCCTCTTTGGGCTTTGGCTCTGAAATGATGGTGTCTATCAAACCAGTTGATGAGTTTCCTTGATGGCTGCATCAAACTACCTGCAAGTCCTGTAGATTTGGTGTAGCTAATTTTACAAATTAATCAGAGATAGGACAACATGGCTGTGGGAGAAGGGAGCCCCTGGCTGTGAGTTTCCACAGAAATCCTTTTGCTTTCAGCAGGGAATGGTAGCTCTGTGCTATTCTCACAGTGTCTTATCTAATGTGTTATTGACGCCATTGCATTTGCTTTCAAACACAGTCATTAGAACATTTAATTTGCAGCAGCTGTAATTTATATTTGTAATTTTGTCTAAGATCAATAAAGGAAACTGAAGAGATTTATAGTCCCAGTTTCAACTAAGATAAATTGAAACAGACTCTGTTTCCCTGAAAAGCTTTATTTAACCAGCATTTTAAAAGAATGAAATGAATTAGATGAGATATTTGCATGCAAGCGTGGGTAAATAATCCCTTGTGTCTGAAAGAAATATTGGAAAGGGTGAACATGGTCAGTGTGTTCTTCTCTGAAATACAAATAAACTCCCAGGAAATGTTACCTTAGTGTAGGATCTAATGGGAGTCAAGGAAACATTTCCAAATGCTTCTTAGCAGCAGCAGTCGATAAATATCCTTGAGATCTGTTGTATTAATGCTGCATAATAAGCCTGTAGCTGCATGTTTTAAATACTGTCAGGATCAGTCTGAGAGTGGAAAGTAAGACCCTGAAAGCACAGCTCTGCCTTAGTTTACAGCAATCCTTGAACGTGGATTGCAGAAATGTGTTAATAATTTTTGAAAAGTCTGTATTCATTTATGAAATATTCATGTTCCAAGCACTGCCTCATGCCTGGGAAGAGGTGCCTCTCCCATACTGCAATTAGCTGAGGGATTATGCTGAGCGGAAGAGACGTGAGCAGTGTCAGGCCTGCTCAGGGCTGTGGTAGTTTCAAGAAGAGTCTGACAGAGGGAAGGCAGGAATTCCTAATGAACCTTTCTCCTTCTGCACAGCAGCAGGACAGGGTACCAGAGCAGTGCCAAGAGATCTGAGGGCTGGGACTGAGGGATATCCCTGCACCTGGCCCAGGACAGGGCACAGTTCAGCAGCTGCTGGCTGTGCTCATCCCTTCTGCTCTGAAGCCTTTTAAAGGTGCCCTGGGGGAAGGCAGTATATTCATTCTCCACCCTCTGTTAATTTGGTTTATGCCTAACTCAGCTGCCTGTTGCCAACAGGCTGCTGGTAGTGCTGTGCCAGGGCACGTGTTCCTCCACTCTGCCATGCAGCCAGGCTTGACATTCCTGCAGCTTCACTTCATACTCATGTGATCACATCATACTGAAGGAAAAGATAATCTGTGGCATGAAGGAGAAAGTTCCACAATAAGACCTTGCCTTTCTCCACTGGGCAGTTGTTTGCTTGTTTTTTGGGTTTTTTTTTTGTATAGGTTTTTAAATATGGTGGTTTGACTTGGAGTTTT